GCAAGAGCCCGCTGCCCAGCTGGGTAGAAACGCCGGCCGGCTCTTGCAAAGGAGGGAGGTGGAGGTACCCACTCTCTCCTTCGCAAGAGCCCGCTGCCCAGCTGGGTAGAAACGCCGGCCGGCTCTTGCAAAGGAGGGAGGTGGAGGTACCCACTCTCTCCTTCGCAAGAGCCCGCTGCCCAGCTGGGTAGAAACGCCGGCCGGCTCTTGCAAAGGAGGGAGGTGGAGGTACCCACTCTCTCCTTCGCAAGAGCCCGCTGCCCAGCTGGGTAGAAACGCCGGCCGGCTCTTGCAAAGGAGGGAGGTGGAGGTACCCACTCTCTCCTTCGCAAGAGCCCGCTGCCCAGCTGGGTAGAAACGCCGGCCGGCTCTTGCAAAGGAGGGAGGTGGAGGTACCCACTCTCTCCTTCGCAAGAGCCCGCTGCCCAGCTGGGTAGAAACGCCGGCCGGCTCTTGCAAAGGAGGGAGGTGGAGGTACCCACTCTCTCCTTCGCAAGAGCCCGCTGCCCAGCTGGGTAGAAACTCCGCCCGGCTCTTGCGAAGGAGGGAGGTGGAGGTCCCCGCTGTCCTTCGGAAGAGCCCGCCACCCAGCTGATCGGCGGTTCCAAAATGGCCGCCTGTTTCGAGCCTCGCTTACCGAGGGCACGAAAATGGCGGCGGTATGGAGGAACTTCGCTGAATGGTGAGTTTATCCGCCATAGGAACGCATTAAACGGAGTTTAATGCGTTCCTATGGGGATTTTCTTTCCATTTAGCGATGTTTCCGTATAGCGACGTTAATCCTGGAACGGATTAACGTCGCTATGCGGGGCACCACTGTATATAAAGCAGCATTCTTTGCTTTGTTTTTACAGTATTAATTGCTGAAAACTGGTTCCTTTCAGCAGTAAAGGGTAGGTCAAGAAACAGTGGTTTCAAGCAGTCTTCCTAAATCTAATTGCCAAGCAATTCACCTACAGATATAAATACTCTAGAAAAGTTGGAAAAGCATTTCCTTTGCAGAAGAATGCATATTTTGGCTTACCAGCTAAAGACAGAAAATAAACCTGAACTCTGAACAAGGCTGCTTTTTAAAATTAATTAATTAATTAATTAACTTATATGCTGCCCACACTACCCAAAGGTCTCTGGGCAGCTTACAACAATTTAAATACAGTAAAAAAATACAATTAAAATATATACTCTAAAAATTGCCATCAGGACCCACAGTTGATATTATTTCAATTAAAAGCCTTCTAGAACAAGAAGGTTTTGACCTGGCGCCAACACGTCATCAACGAGCCAGACGAATCTCAGTTGGGATGGCGTTCCTTAGTCTGGGGGCAGCTACCGAAAAGGCCCTTTCTCTACAAGCCTGGTATTGTGAAGTATGGGACATTGCATTAAATGATAAATTGACTATGGAACTTAAAATAAAAAGAGGGGAAATAATAAGCACTATTATTTGTATTTTTTTGTATTTTTGTTGTTATGTATGTGTTCTTTTGTGTATTTTTTTTGTATAAAATAAAAATTAAGTAAAAAAAAAAACACAGAAAAAAAAATAAACAGAATCAGCTTGATGTGTCCCGTAGCGGCCCCACCATTCACGACCGCACAGCTTGATTCTGGACCAGGTGCAGTCGCCGGACCGTCTTCAAAGGCAGCCCCACATAGGGTGCATTGCAGTAATCTATATGAGATGTTACCAGTGCATGTGTAACTGTCATGAGACTCTGCTCATCCAAGTAGGGCCGTAGCTGGTATATAGATGTCTTTTAGTTTTTTTGGAAGAACTATTATATATTGCTCCTGATTGTTGACATTTTTCTTTTATAAAGAACCTGTAACTCCAGAACTGATGGAACAGTTTGAAGGGTGGGATGTAGAAGTCACAGCTGTCCCGTATCCCAACGCTTTGCTGTCTACATCTCTGTTGCCTCCTAAAAAAATTGAGGGGGAAATACAACACACAACAATAAGCACCAGTGCAGAGATTCCCCCTGCTGTTGCTTGTGAAAGTCTTGCAACCAAGCCAAAACAAGCTTTGAAACAAAACCGGCTGCGTAAAAGCAGAATGGAACATACCAGGGCAAAATTAACCAGGAATTCACAGTCACCTTCTAGTATCTTGAAGCAGAAACACCAGAGGGAACCTGATGTCAATGTGGGGCAGCAGAACAAGGAGGCTGATAGAGAAACCTTACAAAATATGCTTCCAAAGATCCCCTGCTTGTCATCTTTTAAGAACCAGCAGTCCACCGGTGCATGGAGCATGACTGAATATATTAAGGATTATGAATATTTCATTAAGGAAGGGTTAGAGAGAGAGGTGGAGATAGTCAGAAGCTACACAGCACCTGGAGAGCACTATAAACATACAGATGGTGATACCTTCAATTCTACAGGAATGGAATCTAGCTCATGTATTGCCACAGCAGCTGGAGTATTGACTGGAGAGTCTGATAGCGATACTAGCTCTTGCAGTTCTAGATCATCTATCTATAGCCAGGAGGATCAGTTGTCTCTTAAAGCATCTTCAGATGCACAAGAAAGAGATGATGTCATGCTGCCATCAGATCAAACTGTTCGGATACATGCTCAGCAGTTCAGTAGTATCCCTAAACCAGAGCAGTTACAAGAGCCTTCTCTTCAGAAGGAGTTGAAACAGAATGTGAAGCGGAGCAAACCAAGTAGTCATACCCAATATGTTCCCATTACTAAGCCTTCCAAGGGAGATACTATAGAAGATGCTCCCCAGGAGAAATGTCTTCCTTTCTCTCGTGAGAATCAGAGTTCTGAGGAATATTGGAGAACATATTACAGAGCATGGCGGGACTATTATACAGAAGCTTCTCGTTCCTACTACAGAATGTACCAGAGACCAATGAATATGCTGACTGCTTACCATGCAAATGCTGTCTATTTTGAGGAGTTGAGAGGGAATTGGTAATGTGAAAGTGGTGAGATTTTTGCCTCTTCCTGAACATACTGTTATTGATTCATGTCCTTCATATTGCTTTGTATTTCATTTGTGGACTGTTTTGTATGCTCGATAGCATGGAATACTTCAATGCTACTGCAGATAAATAGCTGAAAAATAATGTTCCCATTTCCTTTATGTAGTTTTAGAACAAATGTTTTCTTAGCATTATGGTCAACTATTATTCTGGAAGGTCTAACACAGTTGTGGCCCCAAAAGTGAAGTAGATTACCCACTAAAACATATGGCCATTTCTTGTATTTTCTGTGCTATATCATACAAGTTCAGTGTGCACTTTCAGAAGCCTTGGGAACTGATGGTCCATATTGAAGATGCTCTACTCTCCAACAAAATTTCCCAATGAAGAACCCTAGTTTTTACCTTGGTGGCCACAGTCAAAAATGCTAACTTCTCTTTTAAAATACATGGTCCACCTTGCTGTGGAATCACAAATCTTTGAATGTAAGAAATGTGTTCCCAAGTATAAACTCTGTTCTTGATAATGCATTATCAAATCGTTATATTACATCATAGATGGTGCTAATTTTTTTGATTGTATACAATTTAGCATGTAGAGGCTGTATTACATGTTTATTATTTTTATCTTTCTTAAAAGAACTGTGCCTGGGGAGAGGTTTAGACACCCAACCACACTGATTATCATATTTAGCTGTAATAACATTGAAAATGTTCTGTGTGAAAAAAAGTGTGGACAGCCCCTGATGAATTCTTCTCTATGCAAAGAAAGTGTTGTACTGGAAGTAAGTAGCTTCTGTGGCTCCCACTTATTTATCAGTTGCTATTTTCTGTGCAGTGGCTCCTACCAAGCTACAGCTGTTGTGGTTTCTTCTGTTTAGAAGTAGCATAAATAAATAGGCATATCTCAATTAATGCACATTGCTGATTTAAATAAAATTTAATTAAAACTGTGTAACTACCACTTCCAGAGCTAGATTGGGTTGGCCATGTGTTAGGAAAGATTTTTAATTATTTGTCTGTGTGCGTGTACATCCTGTGAAGCTATTGTAATAGGACCATTCTCTAGAGGGGAGCCAATATCAGACTGCCATGCATAAGGGAAAATTTTAATTAGAAATGAAATTACCTATTAACTCTGAAACTAATTACCCTGCTTTGTTCCAGCCGCTGTATATACCTTGCAAATCATTACATGATATGGGTAATGATGTGCAAAGGCTCTTGCTTTTTCTGTAGCAGAGGAGGGCATTCTCAAGAGTTCATCCCCTTCTACTCGCTTTCACAGCCAGAACTGATCAGCCAGTCATGGTATGCAAATCAAAGTTTACAGTGTAACTCAAAACTTGCATAAATCAAGAGATACCATATGTATATCCAGAGGAATACAGTGGTGCCTTGATTGACGACAATAATCCATTCCAGCAAAATCGCTGTAGAACGAAATCGTTGTCAAGCGAAAGTAAAAAGCCCATTGAAATACATTGAAAATGTTTCAATGCGTTCCAATGGGCGAAATACCTCACCGTCCAGCGAAGATCCTCCATAGGGCGGCCATTTTCTGGGGCCTGTTTAGCGAGGAATCTCTCCTTAACACAGCGGGGAGGCCATTTTGAGAGCCGCCAATCAGCTGTTTTTAGATTATCGTTTAGCGAAAAATCGGTTCCTGAAGCAGGGAACCAATCGTCATCAAGCATATTTTTCCCAATCGCAAAAACCTCATCGCTAAGCGGATTCATCGTGGAGTGGGGTAATCGTTAAGCGGGTAACCACTGTACAGTGTATGGTGTCCTGAAGTATACTGAGAATGCTTGCAATAGTATTGATGTGTCTGGGGAAAAAGATCGTGGAGTGGGGTAATCGTTAAGCGGGGAACCACTGTACAGTGTGTCCTGAAGTATACCGATAATGCTTGCAACAGTATTGATGTGTCTGGGGAAAAAAGAATTGGTGCATCTCCAATCTCCAATGGTGGTGGTAGGGACTATTCCACATAATGTGTGCCGTTACACTAAATGCTCTGTTTTCAACAATCAAAGGGAAGACCTCAGGACAATTTGGCACCATTAGAAGGTTTCAAGGACTACATGAGTCCATTAGGTATTGTTTCAGGTGCCAAGTAGTTTAGGGTGTTATAAACTAACAGTAAAACCTTAAACCTGATCTAGTAGCAAATAAGGAACAAGTGGTACTCATTTAGCACAGGGTACAGTATATCCACTTGGCAACCCAGGCATCCTGCAGTCTTTGGAGTTTTAGGATAGCCATAAATGAAATGGAGCTTAGCCCTTAGATTTGTAAGGTTTTGTGCTCTAAAACAGGAGTTGTCAAACTTTTCAGCATGCAGGGCACATCATATATGTTCCACATTTTCAAAGGCCAAAGGAACACACGCATGCATACACATGCCCACACGCATTCCCGCATGGGCTGAAGGGAATGGACCTGGGGCATCGTTTGGAGGCCCCTGCTCGAGTCTTGCAGCCATACACCCATATGGAGTTCTTTTCCACATAGCAGGATTTTAGATACGTAGATGATAGTAGACTACTTGGAGGAGAAGGATCAGAATCTTGAATTTGTTTTCATATGGGGAATATATTCCTAGTGTACAGCTAGAGCTCAGAATAAGTAAAAAAAGATCCTTATATACTTGCTGCTTGATGTTTGAGTTAAAAACCTTGTAAAATGTAACAAATGCAGTGAGGTCAAAGTACTGTAACTTGTAACTAATATACCAAAAAGGATTTGATTATGGCAAGGTATTTTAAGGGTTTTATTTCTGTGTTCCTTTTTTTGTTCTAGGGATCAAGGATAATGGTGACCAGGGAATTATAAACAACTGTCTAAAATGCTTGACAATGGCCTTAAAAGAGCTTTAGAAAACAAGTTAATTGTAATCAGAAAATTGCAAGCAAACCACAAAGAGTGAAATATGAAAATAAAGGAATGCAAAGTATTGACATGGGACATGGTGGCGCTGCGGGTTAAACCACAGAAGCCTTTATGCTGTAAGGTAGGAAGATCAGCAGTCGTAAGATCAAATCCACATGACGGAGTGAGCTCCCGTTGCTTGTCCCAGCTCCTGCCAGCCTAACAGTTTGAAAGCATGCAAATGCGAGTAGATAAATACATACCACCTCGGTGGGAAGGTAACGGCGTTCCGTGTCTAGTCGCACTGGCCACATGACCACGGAAACTGTCTCTGGACAAACGCTGGCTCAATGGCTTGGAAACGGGGAGGAGCACCACCCCCTAGAGTCGGACACGACTGGACAAATTGTCAAGGGGAACCTTAAAGGATTGACAAATACGGTTTACCTTGGAATTTGGTTCAATGAAATGTGGGAGCATAAAGATGCAGTAAAAGTCAGAACGGGGATTGTCCACAGCCACTTTCTTAACATAAAAAAAATGTAATAATGCAAACTTAAAATTGAGTTTTAGAATGCATATATTGTGTGAGGTTATTTTTTTTGTTATACTGCATGTCATTCAATTATTTGGACCAAGGCTAATATAAATGGGTAACATAAGAAATGTGGATTTATCACATGATGCTTAAAGGCGAAAGATTTATGTGATCTGAAGAGAAACCAGAAAACTAGAAAAAGCTTGGTTGTGTAAGGAGAAATGAAAAGTACAAATTGTTGCAGCTGCTCACTGAAGAGTAAAATAAATGGGAAAATATGTGCAGGAAGGAGAAGGACCTAGGAGCCTGAAATCAGAACAACATCTCTTTTTAGAGCTGCTGGTATTAAAAATCAGCGTAACTGATTGTGTAAATTGCTGCTGGAGAAGGGGAAGGAGGAAGAAGAGAAAGAAACAAATAGACTCTTACACAAAAGTGATGTCTCTGCTTGCTAGCTCTTGACAGTAGCTCTGGTGACATTATCTTTAACTTTCTAAGTGCTAGTTGAGGCACGGATGGTGAACAGAGAGGACCACTGTTGTAAAATTGGGTGTTTGCTAGTACTAGAGTCTTGGGGAAACAGCCACTCATACAGTAGAATCATAGAATAATGGAAGGAGCCTATGAGGCTACCGAGTCCAACTCCCTGAATAAAGGTAAAGGTTCCCCTTGACAATTTTTTTCAGTCATGTTCGACTCTAGGGGCCTCCCTGAATGCTGGAATCCAAATCGATGGATCTGACGGATGGTTATCTAATTTTCTTTTGAATGCCTCCATGCACAAATGCTGAGCTAGATTTATCCTTATTCTCATGAAATCAGGCAAAATTTTCAACAGAGTAGCTATGCTAGTAAATTAACTGAAGTAGTAAGGCAGGCCTGAACGTAGCAGTTGTCTGTCTTAAAAGTAGCTTTTTTATCTTGCCCATCTACACCTTTCAAAATGGACAACAGAAATGTGATGCCATCTAGTGGAATATATGACTTATGGCATGCAAAATGAATGTTAGTATCTGTGCTGTTGCTAAATCAACCTTCTCATGGAACCAGTTTTTAATGTTACCTGAACGGAATAATGGTGTCAAAATGATTTAAAAACTGTCTGGTGTAAAACTACTGAATATGCTTTGTATTGAAATGTTAGGCTTCCCTGTTTGCAGCATGTGGTATATATTTCAGTTGTGGCCAATAGAAGGGGGGGGAGTTAATCACGTGTGCTACAGTTTTCTCTGTGTTGAAAAAACCGTATCTTTGTCCACAGTCTCACATTTTTCTCCTGAAGTTTAGACCTGGTTGGTTGTTTATGGGTACAGTGGTACCTCGCTTGACGACGATAATTCGTTCTGTTCAAATCTCTGTTAAGTGAAATCCTCGTCAAATGAAATGAAAATCGGTTCAATGCATTCCAGTGGGCGAAATACCTCAGCGTCCAGCGAAGATCCTCCATAGGGCGGCCATTTTCCAGTGCCTGTAATGCGAGGAATCCGTCCTAAAGCACAGTGGGGAGCCATTTTGCACAGCGGGCAACCATTTTGAAAAACCCAATTGAATCATCGTTTAGCGATCACAATAGCGATCACAAAAATATAATCGTCAAGCGATTTGCTTGTCTAACAAGGTAATCGTCAAGCGAGGCACCACTGTAATTTAGAAATACTTGGCAAGATCCAACAGTGAGATCCTCCAGTAGAATGGCAGAAGGGTATGATTCCTCTCTCCCATACTCTAAGCCAAATATCTTTGGAGGAGCTGTGCTCCCCCCCATCCTGGTTCTTGGAATGATAGAGGGCTGTAATAGGGAAGGGAGCAACAGTATGTTGCAACTAACAGCATAACATCAGAGTTACTTATGGCTATAGGTGTACATATGCTATTTATTACCATATTAAGCATTTGTATTGGCCCCAGGGGGCCCTTGGTATGTTTGCAAATGCCATTGGTGTTGTCAGTATTTGTGTTGCAATAGCAGGCTATGTTCTGGCATTCTGAACTGTGGATACAGAAGCATCCAGGATTTTTTTTTTCAAGAATTGAATTTCCTGGCTTTTTAAAATGGGAGTTTAAATATACATATGCTATCCACAAATTCAATCAAAAACTTCCCTCATTCAGAATTATCTAGTGCTAGAGGATTCCAGAAGACGAGCATATGTTGTACTTTGGTTACTGGGAGAAGACAGAAGTGAGAAAGCTTCTCTGTTCCAAAATATTTTGAAGGGCTGTTTTGAACTTAACACAAAAATGTGAGTAAGTGTAACACATACAACAGAAAAATACACATATCCTTTAACATCTCAGGTAATGTTGCCGTGCCCTTTCCAGACTAGAAAGCTATGTTCCGATTTCTTAACCCTTTCCTTGAGATAGGCAACCTGAGGAAGAATAACTATATAGGACCAAAAGCTCTACGTACAAACATGTTGTGTACATGTTTTTCTAAAGATGTCCCCACATCTTTTGAAATAATAAAAGAGGGAGGACTTGGAGTTAGCAAAAGCTGTAACTGGAAACCAAGGCCAAAGTCATCCATACTATATGAAGGA